AAGATGAAAGCTCCCCCAGCTTCATTCCCACCTGGGGCCCAGCTAACCAATGGTGGCCTGCAGGAGTGTGCTGTGGTTCCTGCCTCAGTGCCCTCTGCACTGGCCACCACTCTTTCATGCAGCACTGATGGGTCTGGGCCCATGTCTAGTCCTACCGGACACAACATGGTGTCATCAACTACCAGCCCCATCTTCTTTGACTCTGATTGTCCGTCACTGGCTTCTGCCCCCACCAACTTGATCCAGGGTCAACACACCAGCCCTAACACCTGTAGCCCTGTAAAGTCCAGCATGGTGGGGTCACCTCCACTGGCTAGTCCGCTCAGTGTAATGAAGTCTCCGGTTTCCAGCCCTCATAGTATAGGTAGTGTGTGCTCGCCACTTTCCTGTAACACCAACATGAGATCATCCGTCTCAAGCCCAACAACAAATGGAGGCCATACCTGTAACATTAGACCATCCATCTCCAGTCCGCCCACCGTTGGCAGCATGACCATGTCCAGTCCCAGGAACTCATCCAGGGGCTTCTCAGTCTCTAGCCCTCCCAGTGGATTGGGCCTAGTGCAAAATGATGTCAACAGCCCTGAGAGCCGAGAGCATGACTTCAAGGGATTTGAGTTCCCGAAGGTAGAGAATGTGGATGGGGAAATATTTAACATCGGCTTGGATGCTATGGGAGTGGCCAAATATATCAAAAACGAACCTGGCACTGATTACAGGAGTATGTGCCTAGGCAGCAGCAAGAGTGCCATGCCACATTCTCCTTTCGTAACTCACATTAAAACAGAGCCAAACAGAGAGGTGACATGTTCGAACCTTCAGTTTGTGGAGCCGCAGCACTCTCTAGGCTGCTTTCCTTCTGCAGAGACAACATACTTGTCTTTGAGGGATAATATTGACGAATATAGTCTTTCTGGGATCTTGGGACCTCCTGTTTCGTCTCTGAATGGCAACTATGAACCTGGTGTGTTTCTTAACAATGGCCTGCCCAAGGGGATTAAACAGGAAACCAATGATGGCAGCTATTACCAAGAAAATAATAATGTTCCCACGTCGGCTATTGTTGGCGTTAATTCAGGTGGACATTCATTTCATTACCAGATTGGAGCGCAAGGAACAATGTCGTTTGCACGCCATAATCTGAGGGACCAGACAAACCCCTTGTTGAATCTAATTTCTCCAGTTACTGGATTAATGGAGACGTGGAAAACTCGCCCAGGCCTGTCACAGGGGCCTCTCTCTGCCAGAGGGGATGGCTATCCAGGCTCAGTCTGCCTTACAGAAAACATGGAAAGGTAAGACACATTCAGGGAGTTTTTATTGATGTGTTGTAACAAAATGTTGAGGGCAGTGTTTTGAAATATTTTTCAAAGTTGTATTGTTGTTTTATACTCAGACATTAGATCAATCCTATCCCCAAAAAAGAAGGACAAAGAACTTATGAAACCATGTGAGAATTAAGCAAAAGTTACAAATGCTATGGAGACCATTTGCTAAAATTAGACTAAATCAATTGTGTTTGTCTGGAAGCTCTCAGTCAATATAATTAGCTGCCAGACAAATGGTTTGCACTTGAAACATCCTGTCCACCCTAATGGGAAGACTTGCCGGTTTTGTGGTGCACTAAATCTACACTTAAAAGGTTGACCAGCATGTAATCTCAACCCAACACTACAAGTGGCAAGTGTCCTACTAAGCTCCACATAAGAGGGAAGCAAAGTTTCCTTCTTATCAGAACTTTGTCTGTGTCTGTAAGCATAAACATAACTTACTGTATTGTTATCTGAAGGCCTTGGAAAATCTTGTGCAATGAAATACATCTTGTTATTGAGTCTAATCATTATGCACCAGTGTCATACATAATTAATGGTAGGTCAAGTACCTTTCTCTCAGAAACAATGATAAACAAGCAGTTTGTATGAAAGACTTTTAAACAAACAATGGGAGAGATCAAACAAGACAGGAAGTTGCCTAATTAATCATTTGAGCTGATTTTCATCAAGAAACAGATTTTTTT